AAAAGTTATAGAACCTTTTTTAATGAAAAATTATAGGTTCTAGAAATTTTAACTTTTACTGTCTTTGAGTAATTTAGGTAATACCTACACCTTTTATTTATTTTAACACTTGCCGTGGGTTGCAAAACCTTTACACATTGTTTTTGTATCATTTCCATTCTACATAATATAAAATATTTTAAGTCCAATTAATGATTTAAAATTTATTTGACTGGACTACAAGTTTGATTGCCTATAAGTTACTTAAATTGCGTTATAATATTATTGCATTAGAGAAATATTAAATATATTAAATTAGTGAATTATCATTGAATAAATTCAAAACTCTCGTGAAACATAAATTAATCAATAAAGCTTTTTATAAATTGGACGATTATTTAAATAATCGTAATCTTTGGGATTGATTTGAAAATTACTGTTCGTGTCGACATATTTTTATACAAATTTAGTTTTCGACATACACTACTGTTAAGGCATCTTGACAAAGGCTCCAGTTCACAAGTCAAGGGCGTAGAGCGGGCAAGAAGAACTGGCAAGATTCTCTCCGTACTCTATTCTTAATGGTACTACCTAAAAGTAAATTTAGAATCAATTTAACATCTTTTTGGTTGACATTCATAAGTGTACCTATATGAATAAAGTTATTTTGAGTTTGAGTTTATTATAATTGTTTTATAGAAGTAATGTATGTAATGAATAGTATGCAATTTACATCATAATTATTTTTATTCTTTATCTATCACCGTGTGGGTACCAATGTCTTATTATCAGTGCACTTAAGATCATCATATCTTATCTGAACCACTTGAGATATTGTTGTAATTCTATCTCATTATCAATGTTTTTAAAGTTTATACAAAATTATTCTGTGATCACTGCTGCTATGGAGATAGATAAAAACAGAACAATATTGGTACTTAACTGGTGTTATAAAATGAAGTCCCAAGAATGGAATGAACTCAAAAATTCAACGGAGTTTTGTACAGGTTTAGATGTGTATAATTATTATTGTTGAAGAGTTTGCATATAATCTCGCAAAAATATACAACATCTATATCATTAACGCGGGCGTAGGTGAAAGCTAGTATTACGTTGGAGAAGTACCCTCGGTAGTCTCAGCTACGTCATAATCTTTGTTCGGTGATGGGTAGTGCCTTTCCGGTTTTGGGTACTTTTTGGATAATTTCAAAATTTTCGGAATCCTACACAAATTGAAACGTGAAGATTGACATCAATTATTTGTCAAATTTATTTTGTAATTGTTAAATTAGGTTCAACTTTAAAATTAACAAATGAGGAAATAATCGATGAATAAAAAAAATCTATTATTTTTATTCATCGATTTTTCATGCTAAAAAACCATCGATTAATTTACCGAGAATATCACATCTCTTATAACCAATAGAAAAGTAGAAAATGGCGGTTTGTTTACAAATTTCAATACATTTCATAAAACTTTAAAAAAAATTAAAATACTTAGGCGCATTTCCGGCAGCAAAAAACACTTGGAGGTGTTCCAATCAAGGTGCCCCGAGACTCCTGCATAATCAGTATCATCAGATTCGGGCAACTGATTTTAAGATCCCTCATTATAATTAGTCCGTTATGAAAAACTAAACATAATATAAAGTAAAATTCGTTAAGATTTCAACAGTAGGTAGATTACTCGTTCAACAGTCTTTAACAATTAAAATGTAGGAATTGAATAGCTTGTTCCTTTATTCATTAAACAACATTAATTATCATTTTAATTATAAAAATAATTCTAAAAGCTTTCAATCATCAAGAGCTGTGTATACAGAAACAGCAACAACAAAATTATAAACGCTGCGTATACTCAGTTTATTAATTACATATCTCTTGACTTTTTTTTACAAGAATAAAAATTTTCTTAACAATAGTCTCGAAACTGTTGAACCTGTTATATGATATTATCATGAAAGTACTTTGAGGACTCATTGTCAGAATGAAAAGGTGAAAACTCCACAAGTGGCCTCTCAATGCTTCTTATCTCGAGGATTATTGGTTCATAGTATTTGTACGAATACTTCTTGTTAATGTTAAAATATATACCTACAAAGCGATAAATTGTGTACTCTCATAAAATGATTATTAAATGACATACTTATAGGTAATATCAATCATTTTTTATACAGGGGGCAAATGGACAGGAACACCTGATGGTAAGTGTTACCGCCGCCCGTCGACTCCCTCAATGCCAGAGGGCTCGCCAGTGCGATGCTGGCCTTTAAATAATTGGTACGCTCTTTTCTTGAAGGACCCTATGTCTATTATTTATTTAAAAAAACTTTTCATGATATGAACAATCAAACGATACAATTTAAGTCGTTTATTGGATTTAATAATTAATATTTTGGGAACATGCGTTTGTTATTCTAAAATTGATTTTTTTAAATATTATAATTTATAATAGATATAAAATAGCAAGACGATAGGAACGAAAATTAAAAGCCAGACTATTTCATTTATAGGAAAGGTATTTCCTGGTTTTATATTCTATTATAATATACACTAAGGTTAAGTTCCATGCGCATACTGAAACAAAAATAGACTAAATAGTCGAAAATGCTAGAAATTTTGTTTTATAAGCATTAGCGATATCTATAAAATTTGATTCTAAAACCAAAAATTTTATATTTTACAGTCTAGAGTACCCTGTTACTTAGGTTACGCGCGAAAATTAGCAAGTAAAAAAAATATAAATAAAGAAAAGTAAAATTCAAAAAATATAATGATTTTAAATAATTTATTTTCTCGTTAATGAAATTAAATATAGCGATCACTTTATTTTATTAATTTTGATGTACCAAGCCTAGTGACTATTGTGCAATTTTTTAAGTAGCGTAACATATTTGTGTTATGTTCGATCTAAATAATTATAGTTTGGTATAATTAAACACGATTGAATTAAATAAAGATTTTCCGTAAACTTACCGGAATCAATAAAATAACAGTTTCACTGTATACGTTTTGAGTTTATTAGGTAGCTGTGGTTAGTTTAATTTCACAAAATAGACTACTGTCTATTAATCTTAGTAATCTAATCATCATGTTATAACGACGTCTATTATAATAATTATTGTATTTACATAATGATAATGTAAAAAGCTTTACCATACATTATTTACATAATATAATGTATATAACATTTGAACGCATCGTTCAAAAATTAAAATGTTAACAAATATTGCTTGTCAGATGATAGCGCTATTGTAGAAAATCAACAACTCTTTGTTATTATAACATATTCAAGAATCCTCAGTTAAGCAATTATGCTTAATAATTTAATTTATTTGCATACAAATTCATTTATATGAAATAAAACCTCCACAAAGCTTCTATTCTACCGAAAAAAATATTAATTTCAAACGCGTTCATCATCATAATACTTTTAATTTTAATGGCAACATTGCGTGCCCAAACTCATTTAGTTCTAAGTCATAATACTCGATTTGAAAAATTTTAAATACTAGGCAATTCCTTGAATTCCTAATGGTTTTTCTTTTCATACACTTTTCACCAAGGTCATATGTATTTTATTATAGGTATAGGTAGTTTTACAAGACTCGTCTAAAAAGGCGTTAATAAATTATACGTACTACATTTATAATTTTGTGGTATATAAGTACCCAGACTATCAAAAAAGTACGGTTACAGTTAGCGCTTTGTTAATAATATTTCATTTAATACAGGTAAATTCGCAAAACATGAAAACCAGATACAATATTGGTTTATCAAAGTAACAAAATTTTATTCATCGACCAACACCGATGCTCTGTAACTTCCAAAAGCAATAGCGATTACGATTTCGACTTCAATATTCAGTTTTTGTACCGCGCAATCTCAAAGCTGCAACATCAGCGCTACGGATATTGAGAGAACTACATAGAAATCGCATAAAACGTTTGGATCCGTATTGGAAGCTACTGAGTACGTGCACTGGTTAGCAGCCAGTATAAATATACCGTATTTTTCTATCTTAATTTTAGCTTTTGTACATTCTTAATTAGAAACATTTATTCTACCAAGGGCCAGCAGACGTCGGTCTTTTTCGACTCAGATTATGAATAGATTATAGATCCTTTGGTTGTTTTACATTCGAAATTTTCTAATGACAAATATAACATTGGCCAATGCACAAACCGTGCCAGAGCCATAAAGAGGAAAAAAAAAATATAAAATTGACAAAACGTGCATATTGCACTGTCAGTACTGAATTGTCAAATGTCAATATATAATATTCGTCAATCGTCATTCAACAGTTTTTCATTAATGTTGCAGATGTTTCATTATTGTATTTTTGTTTAATTTTTATTCGAAATTGTAATGTTTATGTAATTTCCACATGTGTAATGTCGTTGTTCGAAAACACTGCTTTTAATTCCACTCTTTACGAGGCTCTGTATCTTCAAATTGAGGATACTTTAAGCTTTGCAAAAGATTTTTTTCAATCGTGCGTATCATCGCTACCGATTGATAATTTACCAAAAAGTTTCGTCAATCTTGATGATTTCACATTTTACGATAATCTAGCAGAGGTTTTATTCTTTAACGAGTTTCAGTTTCTGCTATTGAAAACATTTTTCCTTATTCTGCTGTTTACTTTGTTATTGATTTTCGTGTCCTGGCGAGTATATGGTAACCGGATATCAGAACGGTTTATGAAACCCGGTAAGTGTTGTAATTTCTATTTTATTTAAACAATTAGTGGTAATTCTTTTAGCGTGTGCAATAAGAATAAAATAGCAAAATAGCAAATCTTACTGACACCAGTTTGTTATCTTGCAAATGTAAACTATATAAAAAGTATGAAATGTTGGGAACACAATATTACCTTTTATTATTAATTGTTGTTCTGTTGTAATAAAACTATATTTTGGTTTTTGTAATATTTTCAGCAACTTCAGCCACAATAGCACAATTGAAAGAGAGTGTCTCAAAACTGAAACTACCAAAAGAGCACACACCAAGAATCTAAAATGGCAGATAAGATTAAGAAATTTTTTCAAAAGAAAAAAGCAGATGCTAAATTTAAGCTAGCTGGTCCAGGCCACAGGTTAAGTGAATCTTCTATAAGTAATCAATCAGTTGTAAAGAAGGAATCAACTGTGGTGAAAAGAAGTGGTTTGTCTGAAGAAAGTAAAATAGCTGCAGATGCTGCCTTAGCTAGATTGCAACAAAAAAGAGATAATCCAGCATTTAACACCTCATTAGCGGCTATTAAGGTTTGAAATTTGTAATTATTTTCTTATTTTTAAACACCCATTATGACACTTCTATATATAGATAAATATTAATAGATTATATTATGTTGTTTGGTATGTAATTTTATTTACTTGACTTATAGTGGTGGTGTGATTCCTGTAATAGTTAATATAATTTATATGAAGGTCCTCAGAATCTAGATAAATCAATGTGTATCATTGGCCATTTTTTAAGACTTATTCAATACATAATATGTACAAATTATAGCATATATTTTGTTAGTCCTTTTAATCTTTCAATAATAATTCATTTCTTCAATGTGTTGAATAAACCTTGAATAAACCAATCAAACATTGTTTTGAGAAGGTTTAAAATCATATATTGTAAAAAGTTCTAAAGAATGTCTTAATGGTTTTTCAACTAGGCTCAGGTAAAAAGGGAATTGGAAAATGAAGAAAGCCATTCAAAAGCTGAGGAATTAGTCGCCCCAAAAGTGAGGCAAGAAATTGAGACTGAATTACCAGGAAACTTTGCTGCATCTGGAGTATTCTTTAAGTGAGAAAGATATTATTTAGCATATAACATTAGGTTCGGAAACAGATCAGGGAATTTTACGGATAAATGAGATACAGCTTAACATAAAAAAATTAATATTACCTAAAGAAAGTGATATCAATAGCGAGTATAAAGGTTACTATTAAGGAGACATAAATAATTAGAATTTAATAAATAAAATCCTATTCACTTCACTTCAACAAACTATTGTTCATTTGCTTGTTAAATAATTTTTGGAAAATTTTAAATTTTTATTTATTTTAGTACAAATATTTCGTCATGATCGTAGAACAATGTCGGATTAGAAAAAAATCTAAAATCTACTTTTTCAAATATATATTTATATATTTGAATACTACATTGACTAAATATTACGGCTACATTAAAAATAAAATTCCATGTGTTTTAAATTTCAAATTAATCAGTCAGTAAAGTGACGGAATTAATAGAAGCATGTGATTTTTCTAAAAAAAACTTAGTAATTTAATGTTATAATTAATATTTTGTTTCAAAACAAACCCTTTTTTTTTGTTTGCTTGTATGCCAAATTTCATAATAACAGAATATGAATTAAAATGGTTATGACAAAAACTAACATGATTATATTATTTTGTAATGGCTGCCCTGTAAAGTTTACTATTTTTCAGATCCGTCACTATTCTACGACTATGACGATTTTTTTATTTACAATCAGAGTAGCATTTACTGGTAGCCTTTATACTCAGTACTTTATAGCAAACTTAAAAAACAACCAATGAAGATGACTTACAAAATTATGAAATATAATTAAGTAATACTTTCTTTAATTTCAGGTGTCCCATAATAAGTAATGACATTCTACCAAGAGACGAATGGAAACAGAATATTAAAAAATTCCTCTATGAGCAATTGGAAGAAGAAAGAGGCCTCACAGCCTGTCTTCTTATTCAATCTTGTAATAACAATAGAGAAAAGGTTAGTGTTTTAATTTGATTATTAAATTAAACTTAAAGAAATTATTTAGTTAAAACAGCAAAGAGTATCTTAGAACGGTATTCCAAAAGGCATCTTAAGTCACAATCTCCGCTTGAGCACTCTCAAATATGGCAAAGTTCAAATACAAAAAAATTATTTGACAGCACTTGATAGCAGATTTACTAGATTCAAAACTTACACTTACAAAGTTAAACTTACCTAGATTCAAACTGAAATGGTGTGGCAATTTAAAGGTTTACTATGTATCAACCATGAACACTAACTCGACTATGGTTTCAACCCAGTGCATATAACAAATAGTTATGGGTTGGATACCCATTAAAAAAATTATTTCTGATGTTGATTTTTCTTTGTCACTTACCACAAATAGTTTCAAAATATAATTATGGAGTGAACTCGCTATCGCATCTCAATTTCAGATAGATACCTGTGTGGAGACATTATGCAAATATTTGGAAAACATTATCACATACCCTGAAGAGGAGAAGTATCAGAAAATTAGAATGTCTAACAGGTACTAATATTGTTTTTCTACAACTGGTATCGTAAACTTATAGTCAAATGAAAAAGTGTATTAGGACTTTTGATTTCACCAAACAGTAAATTAATAAGAAGCTATTGTATAAATAAACAAATGGTCATAAAAGCTTATGATTTTCGTTCTTTAATATGTCCTAAATATGTATAGGGGATTTTAAAGGGTTTTGGAAACACAATAAAAAATCTGGACAACAATAAGCCTATTCGAATAGCAAATTTGCAATAGTGGCGCCATCTATTGAATCTAAATAAATATTTTTTTATGACAACAAAAACTTTTGGTCTAGCTTAAACGATTACTGCAATATTTAATTGTATATATGCATTTGTCATACATATATATTGAGTATTTTATATTTGAGCAATATTCTCTATAGATACCATAAATTTCGGAAAAATATTTTTACCAATTTTTTTTATTTGTATAGAATTTATTAAAAGATATTGTTATTAAAAGTGTCAATCAACTAAGAGATCGATCACGATCACACAATATTAATTTGGGAATATGTAGTGATATTTGTAAGGAATTAGTTTTAAACTGCAATTTTAATCAAATAAAATAAAATTTCTGTTCTTATTATTATAAAAATATTACTTATTATATTTTATTTAATATATCTGAATTATGTTAAGTAATTAAACTAAGGTTATATTCAAAAACGAGACCTGCTCTAAGTTTGACGTCTGACATCGAAAATCGATTGAATTTTGACATAATATGAGAGTCACTGTAAGTTTAGTTTCTGAATCTAACTCTAAGAGTATAATACAGATTGGCGCAATTTTTAAACCTTACTTGATAAAAATTTCAGGGCATTTTGTGATCGAGTCCAGCCAATAGAGGGCGCATTAGAATTATTGTTAGCTGCCGGCTTCGTTCAGCAGAAAATGGATAATAATGGTGTAGAGGAAGATTATCTTGTATTCCAAAAAGATAATGTGCCCTCTATTGAGAGTTTGACGGTAAGTAATATTTATTACCTATAAGCTAAGAAATCTTGAGGGAATGGACCTATCTAACCTCTGGCTGGCGTCGCTTCGCGGGCTTTCGCCGCGTGTGTCAGAGTGGGATGCTGTCTTTTTTTGCGTCCTACCCCATTTGCTTTTCGTCGGGTACTCCTGATGTGTTTTTTTAAAAGGCCGGCAACGTACTTGCGAGCCTCCTGGCATTGTCTATGGGCGGCGGTATCACTAAACATCAAAGAGCCTCCTGCCCGTTTGCCCCCGTTATATAAAAAAAACAAATTTTGTTATTTCTGTTTTAAATACCTAAGCCTTGCAAAAAACATTGTAATTTTTACCACTTTAAGTAAAAATAACTAACTAACTTATTATACGACTGCTGGTTATGTTTTAAAATTGTCTAATTATTATTGGACTGAAATTATTAAGGAAGGCTAGAAATGCGGATACCAGTTCGGGGCATTCACAGTTTATTAAGATAATTAATTTGTATTACAGACATTAATAGACGCACTCCGTTCAGCCGAGCCGATTCACCTAGAATTAGATCGAAATCTGCAAGTGCTTCTACCCTCACAAGCGGCCACAAAAGTGCAACTACCCCCATCGTTCTATGCACTCTCTATGGAGGAAATTAAAAGAGAACAACAGTTGAGGTATCATTATATGTTTATTAATTTATATAATAATTAGAATACACTCAGCTGTTTTTCATCTTATAAGATATTAATAGGATTTTTAAATTCTTAAGTGATTTTGATTTTGTATGTTATATAGTTTGAATAAATAATATTAATTTCAGAGCTGAAGCGATCGAAAAATCCCAAATGCTTCGCACAAAAGCTATGCGGGAAAAGGATGAACTTAGGGAAATGAGGAAATACAAGTTTGCCATAATTCGGATACGGTTTCCTGATGGAATATTGTTACAGGTATTTATTATTTCTCCAACTTTAACCAATTGTGGGTTCAATTCCATGGGAAAAGTTTTTGTTTCGGTTTGGACAATGGAGGTTGTTTATTTTTGCTCAAAACCAATATAAAAATTAATTAAAATAATTTATCAGAATTAAAAAATTTAAAATATTTTCAGGGAACATTTTCAGTGTATGAAAGGTATATGGAGATTCACGAATTCGTGCAAGAAAACCTCGAACATAGTGGCTTACCCTTTATCCTAAATACGCCAACCGGTCATAAGTTACTCATTGAAGAAGATGCGAATAAGACCCTTATTGACTTAAAGCTAGTGCCGGCGACAGTGCTTAATTTCGCCTGGCACTCTAATGTCATCGAAGAGATTAATAATAGTCCAAATAAAGATGTTTATTTGAAGCCAGAGGTTATGGTTTTGGTGCGAGAAATGTAACGATCATTTGGTAATGTTATGCAATATAAATACAAAAATTACGCTTAAACTTATTTGACGGCGCTTAACGTATACTTAGTCACGTCACTTCTCTGTTATCTATGGTACCCAAGAACAATACGCGAACAGTTATCGTGATAGGAATATTTTTGTTTTAAGCGAATGGGAACTAAAGGGAAGCATCCATCATTCGTATATATTCTTGTTGTCAAAAACTATCGTATTCCTCTCTCTTCAGTCGGTAACTTGTGAGCGTGATGGTCAGCGAGGAGACATCTAGAGCGGACCATCTGTTTCCACCGGCTTATGTCCAGCGACTCTCTTATTACAGTGTACAGTTTTGAAGAAGATCTTTCACATGATCGGTCCATCTGGTTGGTGAATGGCCACAAGATCTTTTGCTATCTGTTTTACCAACTACGATCAATTTTTTTAGTCATCGTATTTACGTATACGTACGTACGAACACGTGACGTACGAACATGCCAATGCGATAATGCAATTTTTTTATAATCTTCACGAAAGCATCTTAAAGTGAAATAATAAATGAACACCTGATTCTAAAATTAAATTCTATCATAATTTGTGCGCATTTACATTTACTGCATTCCTTCACTTAAATAAATTTGCCACTAGATTTCGTTCAACGCAAATCTAACGCCATTCCATAAGAGTGCTGCGCGTGAGTCTATTACCATACATTTTATATTGCTTTGTAAATTGTGCCACAAACTACTTTTGTGTAATCCAGAAATTATTTCCACTTTATGAAAGTAGTTTTCTATGAACATTTTCAATAAATTTGTAATGTGTAAATTCACTTTGATTTATTTTCTTGATTGACTTCAATTATATATGAATTCCTGAAAAATTTTATGATCTCTTTGTTCTCGGAGTGTTTATTTTTACTGAGTTTCGAATAAAATCCAGTCTCTTTGAAAATTTTTATTAAAAAAATAAATTTCAAACCACAATAATTAATGATATGAAATCGAAATTTCTTGAGGGTTCTTCGAAAAGTTTTCTATATATACTTAATTTTAGTTTAGTGATTGAAAATTCAGATATAAATTTATGTCTGTTTGACTGTCTTGCGTTTGTATCATAGTGGACGTGTTTGTCTTATTATGATTTGCCGCTGTATATATTTTTATTCTGGATTGTTAAACACTATTTATGTTAGTGTTATTTTATTCTTGATATTTTCAATTTGTTTTTTTTTTCTTGTTGATTTTCATTGTTTTTTTAATAAATATAAATAGGCATTTAACACAGTTCTTTTGGTACCACGATTTATAAGAGACCTTTTTCAAATGTAATCCATACAACCTGTATTCCCTAACAAAAACCAATAAATATGGAAATGAAAATTTTGTTAACAGTGCTGCTTTCGATAACACTCACTAGATGACGTCTAATTAGTTTTGGAGGGTATTCAGTTGAATAAATTGTCATAATAACTATAACGAACGATTTTATCCCCTAAAATAATACTTATGATAATATTATAATGAGTTAATGCACCTTAATATTTCACGTGCATATTATTGTTTACTTTTAAATTGTTGATCAAGATGTTCATACTTGTGGTAAATAAAGTAAATATAATCAACGTTTTACGTTTGTTTCACTTATTCCCATTTGAAAAAAAGTCAAGGCAAAATCTTCAGCACACTTGTACTGATTTTGTTTGGAAATTATCGTTTATTGAAAGAAAATATAATTATTATTGCGATTTGTGAAACACTACGAAATATCGCGCTGCATTCCAAGAAAACTGCAAAAAACAGTAAAGCACTAGAAAAGCCCCATTTACTTTATTAAAATACGGAGAAGGTACCCAAAAACCATGTTGCCGACCTGTGAGCAAAATAAAATTATAAAAGCAATAGGGTCGCATTGGTTCAAATATGGCATGCGAGAAGTAGGAGGACCAGAAAATACCCAGGATCCGATAGCCGAGCCTTCCTGTAAGCCTCCTCATGCTTGTTACAGCCAGACAAGTTAGCCCTTCTCAATATAATGTACTTAACAACCTACTCGCTAGATATAGGCTCTAATTTTACTTTGTTCGAACCTCGAGAGCGTTTATGAAGACATATGCACTTTTTCTTCAAAACTTTTTTTCGATATTTCGGTTCGATCGAAAATTTCCAAAATAAATTTATTTGAAATCACTTAAGTGCTTTAATAGGGACAGCTATAAAACTATATCTGCCCAGCAGTTTTACCCGCGTTTCATATAACATACGCTCGTGATAATTTTAGAATGCAATTTTCAACAACAGCAATTTTTATTCAAATAAATACTGCATGTATGTATAAGAATTTATAAAGAGCATTCTATAATGATGGTCCTACGAGACGGATTATTAAAAAAAATACAAATTTCAATATATATTTATTGTAGCAGTTCAAAAGTATTTACAATGCATAGAAATAAATTTTACACATAAGCCTTAACTATTTATTAGATGATCGAAATCATCATCTCCAGGTACTCTATTCTCGATTGTGACAGATTTAGTGCAATCTTGAGTTTTGTAGATCCCAACCAGACGATTGCAGGCTTCAAACATATTGTACCGGAGCGAGATTATGATGAACTGGGCGTTCTTCGTTCGTTCCTGAAAAGATTTCATATTGATCTAAGCAGAGAAGTATAAATATTTTCAAGTCATATATTTATAAGTGTAAGACATTATTTTGAAATAGATGTATTTCTGGCGAATTTGTATGTCATTTCAAAAATTCTAAATATTTAATTTTAGGTATTATCGTATCTTCGCTATCTATCACTCAAATATGAATCGCGACTTTGTGAGTGGAAAATAATAAAAAAACCATATCACTATTAAACATCAAATAAAAAAGGTTTTTAATTATATATTATATCGATTAGATAATACAAAGATAGAGGCATTCAAGATGTGGTGTTGAAGGTGTCAATGTGTTGCGAATACCATTGATTGCAAAAAGGACCAATTAGTCCATTCTCAATCAACTAAAGATCACCACATCTCTAATGCCCTGAGAAAAAGCTCAACCTCAAATCGGTTAGTGCACGTTTATACCTTAATATAATTAGCCACGATTGAGATATTCTTAAAGTCCAAGGCTGCGTCTATTTCGTCCATGACATAAAGCGGTGTAGGTTTGTAGTAATGAAGGGCGAAGACCAAAGCCAATGATGATAACGTCTTCTCACCACCGGAGAGATTTGAAATATTCTTCCACGATTTGTTTGGGGGTCGCACACTGAAAATAAACATTTAAATATTGGTATAATATGGTATATTATGTTATACATATGTGCTAACTGAATCACGAAGGTGGTTTTGGAATGCATTACCTGAAAATAATTCCTTCAGTAAAAGGATCGAGTGAGTCGACGAGTTCCAGCTCCGCATCTCCCCCCAAAGTTATCATTTGATACATTTCCTTTAACTTTGTTGTTATTGTGTTGAAACCTGAAAAAATATTTAGTAATTATAAAAGAGGAAGACTACTTCTACTGACATTTTAGACATGGCTTCTGTTTAATTGCCTTTACTGGTTTTAGATACTTTAAAGTTAAGTTTTTGCTTAATTTAAATGATAATCAACATTAATGTATCTATAAATGCTGCCGAGCTTGCGAAATGTTAAATAGAAACTACAGAATGTAGAAGAGAAGATGGTAGTTGAGAATTCAATTGAAGGTTTTAAGGTTAATTCTTTGTTCTTATATTATAATGACCAATGCATCTTACTATTCTATAATATAATATAGTTATTTTTTTTTGGATACGTAGGTAACAATTGTTAACTGTGTTTCATGTTTATTCCGTTTTTAGCTTTAGTGTATATTATAATTGTTTAGCTATTGTATAAAAAGTAGCTGTAGGAATACTGATAACCAAATAACGGTTAAAAAGATATTTGAAATACACAAATCACCTGATGTCATTATGGGACATGGGAAGAGACAATGGCGTAAAGTCTACATCACCTGATGTCTATACTTTTTATTGTAATCAAAAAATAATTTTCCAGCTTACCACTCAAGAAGTCAGTAGTCCTCTTTTTACGCAATTGATCACACAAATTCCTCATCTCATTCCTCTTCGTTGTGATCTCATCCAATTCTGCTGCTCTCTTTAAATATAATTCTTCTTTCGCTCTGAAATCCTAAAAAAGAGTTTTTTATAATACTTGTTGACTTTTAAAGACAAATGGACGTGATCCCTTACTTTGTTATAGAACGGACACATATTAGCGTTTGTTTTATTATTTTATGAACATACCAAGTAACCATAAATAATAATGCTTTCGACATTTATTGGATGAATACTATTTAAGAGGACTGCATCAATTTTTTTAGTTTTAAATATCACTGCTCATGTTTTTCTATAGAAAACTGTTTATACTTAAGGTGGAATTTTGATGGACTAAACGGGATAATGGGAGTCAAATTTAGAGTCGAGCCTTAAGGTGAGATTGGCACGAGCTATGACTTCCTTATGTCAAAACCCCACTAGTTTTGACACGTTTTGAGTTTGGCACTATATCTGGATTCCGAATCTCACCCTTAGGCCCAATATCACTCCAGTGTCAAAACAAACTTTGTTTTTTTTTTATAGAACAGGGGGCAAACGGGCAGGAAGCTCATCTGGTGTTAAGTGATACCGCCCCGCCCATTGACACACCCATTGACACATTGCCAGAAGCCTCGCAAGTACCGGCCTTTTATGGATTGGAACGCTCTTTTATTGAACGATCCTACGTCGAATAGGTTCGGAAATACTTCAGAAACTAAAAGATTATTTATTCTAGTACTATTTTCCTACAATAAACTATAATCGAATCTGAAGAGAATAAGTATATTCACCTGAATCGCCTGTAAATTGGGTTTATTATCTCCAATTCTAGCTTTTTGAGCTGTCAGCCGGTTTCTCAATTCATCCACTGAACATTCCTCTAGCTCTTCACTTGCGTGCGTCACCAATGGAGTGGGGCGT